AGGAGGGAGAGAGAAAGAGAGAGAGAAAGAGAGAGAGAGAGAGAAGAAATAGAAAAAACAATATATAAATGTTCTGAGATGAGTTCAAACATTTTTTTGCCGACTTTTAAAATCAATAAACGTCATCTTACGATGATGAGTTTACATTGGAAATAAAAGACTATTAGTCGTATTTCATTTTTCATGACGATGTTAAAAAAAGAAAATAATCTTTGGAATAGAGACGTCTACCGTCGCAGTTGCATCTTATTTCTGTTTTTTAAACAGATAGTATATTTACATAGATAAGTACACTAGGTTTTCCTTGGATTCATTATTCCTCATGCGGGGGAAATAAAAAATGTAAAGTGAAGTTAACCGCACCACCCGGAAGTTTTATTCGAGGGCTTCGCAATGCGTCGACAGGAAGTGTAACGTGAGCCTGAATTTTTTCCATAAGCTATTATATATACACATATATATTTATCTCTTTTGCTCCCCTTTCTTTCTTTTTACTCAAATTGAAACGTTATAACAGTAAGAGTGATATTTAGTATTTCCTGAATTCAACTACTCATTTTGATTGATTTGCCAAAAAAAGAAATAATCGTAAATTTTTGCAGTTTGCAAATAAAAGTGATTTTGTCTGACAAAAAATTGTTTAATTTATTGAAATTTAAAATAATCTAAATAATCTAAATTTTATTTATATATATTATTTTGTTTAATAAGATATAGAAAAATAATATTTTTATCCTATTATTATATATTTTTCCTTATATTTTAATGTAATTAACATTTCTATTAAGTATAATATTTTGTAATTTAATAATTATTTTCTTTTATTATTTAATATTGTATAAATAATATTATGAATCATTATACTAAAAATAGCTTTATATATTATATTTATTCGAATTAATACAGAATGATATTATTTAAACAAACAAACAAACATCACACGATTATATCTTATATTTTCTATTCTCAAGTTAGTTTTAAAGGGCGAGGCTGGATTACAATCGTTATCTTAACCTGTGAATCATTCTTGAACATACAAGTTAAGACTTTATGAAAACGTTCGAAATATCAAAGAAAAACGAACTATCGGCACGAAAAAGAAATTTAACGTTAAAAAAAAAAAAAAAGGGGAAAATAGAACAAAGAGAAAAATATCATACGGCGAGTTTAAAATGCCATTTATCTCGTAAGTCAATTTAAAAATAACGTACGTAAGTATTAAAAGTAAAGTTGCTCTCTCAGTTTCTTCGAGAATGATAATAATCGAAAAGGAAGACGATGATCCTTCTGTCTCCAGCTGTGGTGCTCTCCCGCTGCTTTCAAACCTTTCTATTATTATTTTATCCTCATCTTAGGTTAGTCCTCTGTTATCTTTAAAACTACGATTCCCGAGCAAGCCCCTTTAAATCTCCAGTAACAAATATTAATTTCTCGTAGTACACTTTGTAAACAATTATTTTTAATGTCTGAGATCTTTGATAAAGGTATATATATTTTTAATTTGTTCCTTTATCGTACATATTATTATTAAAAACAAAATGAATAAGATCATATTTCTTAATACCTACTAATCATTCTGTGTGTAATTAAAAACTATAAGAGTATTCATTATAACAATTGTGTATACTTATATCTCTTGTTTTCTCTCATTTGCTTTCTCTTCCTCTCTTTTTCATTTTTTATAACATTTAAACACCTACATATTATGTATATTATGTACGAAGATAGGTCGAAAAGTTTTTAGCCTCAACGAAAAAACTGATTAAAAAACAAATAGAAGTAAGTTTGACCGAAAAGAATTATCTATGTTTGACTCAAAATTCTTCGCCCATCTACCTATATATATATAAGTAGGATCTGTGTGTGTTTGTGTATGTATATATTATTAAAGTATATAATATAATTTATATTCATTAAAGAAACTTTTAAATAATAGAAGAAATATAACATTAATAATTTATCTTTAAATAGGATAAATTAAATTATTATTAGATCCCTTTAATAATTAGTATATTTATAATTCCCATAGTAATAGTATTTTCCATACTTAAAAAAATTATTATTAAAAAAAAGATAATATATATATATATATAATTTATATATATTATATTATTATATTATTATATAATATAATTTAATCATTATAGTTCTAATTTAATAATTATTTATTAGTTAGTAATATTATTTTGTTCAAAATATATCACACATTAGAAGATTTTAAAAATGTCCTACCAAGGAAATCAACATTTCAAGTTCTTATCCTAAATGAAGAAATACAATTAAATGAAATACATACTATATCGATTTAATGATAAATTCGATAATTTCAAATGATATTCATTGTATAAAGGATTTGATTTTATTTGCGAATTGTTCTTTTAATATAATTAACGAATAGCGTCTTGGTTCGAATCGAATTCGCAAAGCGAGACGAGTATGCATGTAGCCGGATGATGAGTCATGCTTACTCCTCCATACGGGGTCGACGTCTGCCGCACTTTGTCAAAGAAGACCGGCTAGCTAGAAAGCTTGTAGACATTTCGTGCATATTAAATTAACTTTTCGCTTTTTTACTTCCTTTTAATCCTTATTTAATTACTCCTCATGAATTTAGTAAGGAAGCTTTACAATAACGTTAACTCCCGTAGTAAACCACTTACGTCATAAATATATAATTCGTCTTTTCATATGAACAAGAGCAATTAAAATGTACGTTTTATTTCATTAAAATGAATCACTAAAAAAATTACTACAAAAAATCAATGAAAATATATAAAAGACATAGCTGTATTACTACTTGTGTGTGTGTATGATATTGTTAGAATGTATTGTCGATATTATAAAATACAAATATTGTTAAATTTCTTTTTTCTTTCTTGTTTTATAAATAAATTATAAACATAAACATACCTGTAACATGATATATAATATATAAATATTCTAAGATACAATTTCAAAACAAGACTATATTTAAGATACATGGATAACTTATGAGTATAAATCAATTAATTTCACATACACACTCATAAAATAGAGAAAATTAACAAAGTAATATAAATCATATATTATTGAACGGTAATAAAAATTGTTATCATTTAATGGCGTTAAGAGCTTAATTATTAAGTAAATTTATTTTAAATCTAATAATTATTAAAATACAGTGCTTTATGATTGAAATTTAAAAATATTCTTTAATTGGTGTTATTAACTTTGATTTCTTTCACATAATTTAATCACATAAATTTGTATGATTTCAGATTTTTTATTCTAATATATATATATTTAAAAAAAATAAAAATATAAACAAAGAGAAAGAAAGACAATGTTGAATTATCCTAACTACAATGAATTAAGGGTGAGAGATAACTCAATGATCTCAATGAAAGCAAAGAGACTGGAGGCGGTCCAAACCGTAGCAATTTAAAGAGCTCTCCCGTCTTTAACGTAATTTTCAATGTACGTACTCGAAATTCTTCACCACCCACTCCAGACTTTCTGGAAAAATAGCCGCAGACACTCAAGCTTCTTCCTCTAATTTACAAGAGAAATATTCTTGATTAAGAAATTCACCGTTTAAATGAAATAAATCTTATTGTGTTTCTACATACATTGTCGATTTCACGTCCAACACTTCTCGAGAAACACTTCTAGACACCTTGTTGAAAAAATTGATAACTACTAACGCAACGAATTGATACACCAGAACGATCCGTTAACAAATTTTTGTTAGGGAAGTTAACAGTGATCTGATTTCTTTAACTAACTGTATATCTTCGATCCGTTACTCTTCAACTCGTAGTCAACATTCTTTCAAAACGATGCCACATTATGCTATGCGTTCGGTTAAACCGCAGACGTTGAAACCTATCAGTTAATAAAAAAAAAGAAATAAAAAAATACTTTTTTTTTTCCTATAAACATGTCAACGATCGTTGTTCAAATTTCCCGCAAATTATTTTACTCCTTTGGAAAGTAGAACCGATGTTGATAATATCGTTCAGTCGATAAAAACGATCGGATATTAAATAGAATTATGTTTCATATCTCAGAATGTATTTCAAAGATTTCGATTTTTTTCATGTTATTTATTATATAGATTATATTGATTTATATTTAAAATTGATTCGTGTTGTGCATGTGTATGAAATGTAACGATGTAAGATTTTATCGACGTTTTTGAATAATGTTCTGCAAATAATCGGTAGAGGGCGAATTGGTAATATATACGCACAGTTGAATTTAAAATAAAATATTATTACGTTTTATATATAAATTTATCAATGAATAATGCGTCTACATAGTAACTTATAGCTAGTCTACAAAAAATGACCAACGATTTACTATTAACAGAATGATTTGTATGTAACAGGAACAAATTTGTCAACGATTGAAACTAAATACTACTACAAATTGCTTTTCATCAATGTAATTAAATATATAAATAAATAAATTCACATTATATGATCAATAAATATAAAATTTAATACATACCTCAATGAACGCTTACTGAAGTTTATTTAAATTTGATCGGGTACGTTATGATATATCTTTATTAATAATCTTATTTAAAAATATTGAGAATGATTATAATACAAGAGAAAAACAAAAAGCATGTACACAACAACACACATTTATATGATAATAATTTATTCAAAAGATGGTGGCTTGCCGCTACAGCGGTTATACACTGGATACAAGACGCGTAAATATAATTAGTCCAAAACAGAATGATGACATTTTAATCTCGTTCGCATATGTTTTTCGAAATTGAATTAAATATATACCAAAAATTACGCACGCAGGCCTAAAAAAAAAAGGCGCGTCTATTCTTTTAATAATCGAATCCCAATCAATAGAAACGAAGTAATTGCGCGTATAAAAGAAATACAAAAAGAAATGTAAACGCAAGGAGTTAAGAAGCAAAAGGGGTGGATGTGTTCTTTTTGTATGGGAAATAGGATGAGGATGAGGAAGATGAGGTAATAGATTGGAGATAAAGAGTAAGAGTGGGGGAGTGTACGATGACAAATAGATCTTTCATATCTAATTTTCGTCGACCTCGGCTTCCTGCTCTTCGTCGAATTCGGCATCTTCGTCGGCGGTGGCTTCTTGGTATTGCTGGTATTCCGAAACAAGATCGTTCATGTTTGATTCGGCTTCAGTGAATTCCATCTCGTCCATACCTTCACCAGTATACCAATGAAGGAAAGCCTTTCTCCTGAACATAGCTGTGAATTGTTCGGAAATGCGCTTGAACAATTCCTGAATGGCAGTGGAGTTGCCGATGAAAGTGGCAGACATCTTAAGACCACGAGGTGGGATGTCACAAACGGCGGTTTTAACGTTGTTTGGAATCCATTCGACGAAGTACGAGCTGTTCTTGTTTTGAATGTTAAGCATTTGTTCGTCGACTTCTTTCATCGACATCCTACCACGGAAGATGGCGGCAACGGTGAGATACCTTCCGTGTCGTGGATCACAAGCAGCCATCATATTCTTTGCGTCGAACATTTGTTGAGTGAGTTCGGGTACAGAGAGTGCTCTGTATTGTTGGCTTCCTCTAGACGTAAGAGGTGCGAAACCTGGCATGAAGAAGTGTAGACGTGGGAAGGGTACCATGTTAACAGCCAATTTCCTCAAATCAGCATTTAGTTGACCAGGGAACCTAAGGCAGGTGGTTACGCCAGACATCGTGAGGGAGACGAGATGGTTCAAGTCGCCATAGGTAGGTGTCGAGAGTTTTAAGGTACGGAAGCAAATGTCATAAAGGGCTTCATTATCAATGCAATAGGTCTCATCTGTATTCTCAACCAGTTGATGTACGGAGAGAGTAGCATTGTAAGGTTCAACGACGGTATCTGATACCTTAGGCGACGGTACGACCGAGTACGTATTCATAATTCTGTCGGGATACTCTTCACGGATCTTGGAAATAAGAAGAGTTCCCATTCCGGATCCGGTACCGCCACCAAGTGAGTGGGTAAGTTGGAATCCTTGAAGGCAGTCACAGCTTTCAGCCTCCTTCCTGACTACATCCAACACCGAATCAACGAGTTCTGCACCTTCGGTGTAGTGACCCTTCGCCCAGTTGTTACCAGCACCGGATTGACCAAAAACGAAGTTGTCCGGTCTGAAGATTTGTCCGAAAGGTCCAGATCGTACGGAATCCATCGTACCTGGCTCCAGATCGACGAGGATGGCTCTAGGTACATATTTACCACCCGATGCCTCATTGTAGTAAACATTGATTCTCTCTAGTTGAAGATCAGAATCACCATGGTAGGTACCAGTCGGGTCAATTCCATGCTCGTCGCTGATGATTTCCCAAAACTACAAAATAACAATTACTCATTAGTTATGCATCCTAGTTTTTATCTAGTAAAAATTTAATGAGAATATATATATAAGGTAAGATCTTGCAGAATTTGTTCATCATGTGATCATCCTTTTTAAGCCTGCATAGAAACGAGGAGAGGAAGTTTCGCGCTAGCTAAAGCTTTCACCTAGCAATTATCTCGCGGCATCCGTTTTCAAGTCTTCCGTAATATCGAGCAGAACGCGGACGAAGGAAGTTCAATGACCCCCTTCTTCCTCCCACTCATTCTTTCTCTCTTGTTTCAAAGAGAATAGCTAACACGTAATTAGCCGTGATAGGTGCGCGCGTTTCACGAAATCATTCTTCGTTAAAATCCATCATCCTCTCTCTCCTGAATCAAATACAATCTCTTCGAATTAGAGCTAACGTAACAACATCAAAGAAACTCGGAACCACATCGGCAACTACAAACAGGACACGCTTGATGTCTTCCCCGTTCATGGTACCAAGGGTAGAAGTTACGTTAGAACGTTGCTGTATCGGGAAAATGGAAGGAAGGTAGTTTATATGCTAAGTTGAGTACGGTTGAGTACGGTTGAGTACGGCTTCTGCCTTTCGATCTTTTCCTATTTAATTCGCGTTTATTACAAACCGTTAACTTTTTAACTAGGTCACTTCATGATCATGATGATATTCAAAAATAGAATCTTTGTAATAGCAAAACCAGAATGTACAAGGTATTTTAAAAGTATCGTTATTGCTATAACATACATTCTTTTAATTTCAATTAATTATCGTTTGAATGTTATTTACATTAATTAAAATAAAATAGCTTTCGCGGATATTTATTTTGAATGTAATGATATTACATTGTAGAGAAAATTGATTGATACTTTCCAAATCAATGACCTTAATATTTGAAAATTATTGTGGGCCTATGAAAATATTTAAAATGATATTGCAAACATTATTAAACGACATTGTTGGCAAGGGATTCACGTAGTCAGCTAGCTCTAGCTGCTAGCCAGCCAGGCAACTCTTCTTCTCTATTTCTCCCCACTTTGTCGTCAGTTCAAAGACCTCGACGGTATATTTCTGGAAATCGACGTGCGTGGAACGCGACGCGCGAAAGGAACGTGAACATCGCGGTTCTCTTGCAAGCAATGTTGTTAGATAGATATAAGCTTTTACGTTATCGTTTCTCTATCTCAATAACAAAAGTAGAAGAGACACGAAGAAACCTGTTATCATAGGTCCTGCTCGTACTTTACCTATTCTATTTTCCTATTTCAACTCAAGTATGGAAATTAATTTATCGTAACAAGAGATAAGAATTTTATCTACTCATTTAATTTCTATAAATTAACATATCTACATAACATTTATAAATATACACATAACATATTGACTTAAGCATTAATGATGGGAATTTATTGTATCATGTTTACACCATTCATAGTAACTTTCAGACAACACACGTCATATTATGTATTGATTATCATAATATTGACCTAATAATAAACATTGAATTAAATAACCTATTTCTCTACTATTCTAATATTATTAAAGATATATTGTGTCAATTACCTTGACACAATATCATTTAGTATATAGTACTGAAACTACTTTTATTCGCTCTTCAAAATTCAGCATATAATCCTACATGTATCGAATCTATTACTGACCAAAAATGCAATTCAAAATTCTATTCCGTGTTAGAACATATGATCGACATTAACATCGCAGAGTTGTTGAACGACATTGGACGAGTATAACTCGTAAAGAGAAGAATTGCAGCATGAAAAGAATGATGCCAGACATTACGTAAGTGATCCTAAGGCGGTGGCTAGGTGCCCTTAACCGACTCGCCGAGTAGGCGATAAAGATTGCATATGGATACAGCAGGATAAGAAGAGAAAGAGACAGAAAATGAGCCCGGTTCGCCTTCGAAGACGTCCTACATGGAAACACGACGGGTGTATTAAGCAGTGACCATATATGAACATCGTTGGTGGGAAGCTAAGAAATCAGCAAAGTCTACCTTCTCTCTCTTTTTTCTTTTCACTCTGTCCACTCCCACCTAAGAGTCGCTGGCCGAGATATATACATATATGTAAGCTGAGTTGGTAGCAAATAACGTTTATAACGAGAGAGAGAGAGAGAGAGAGAAAGAGAGAAAGAGAGAGATATGAGTCATCAATGTCACCGCTATATATAGAAATGATGACCGTAAAACCGACATGGATGAACAATTACCATAAGCCACGATCAGAAAAATTTTTATGTATTACGTATGTATTACATATATAAATATATACAACATATGTTACTTGTAACTTGCATATACGGATAGATGAATATTTTCGAAAGCTTTTCGTAACTCATTGCCTCGATTCGCTTAAATCGTTACTTCCTCAGAAATATGTGTCACTCCGTCAAGCAGAACAACACCACGTAACTCTTGCGGTTTACACGCACGAAAGGAAGATTATTTTTTCAAGCGTATGTTATACACACGAAACTATTTCTTTTTTATTTAACTCTAAATTGAAATAGAACATAAAAATCAATTATTTAGTTTAAATAATAGAATTCTATTTATTGTTAGAATTTAAAATTACATTTAATTATTTCTTTTTAGAGGAAATAATAATTTATCATTTATTTCAAAGAGTTTTAAGATAACGACCATAATCAAAAATACTTCTTTTATCCATATCGAGATCTCGAAGAATCATTTAATAATATCACGTTCGATAAACTTGTTTTATTGTACATACGTGTCGGTATATTTTGAAAATGTACTAACAATAAGTCAACAACTTTTTAATTTATTTTATATTAAAAATGAATTTATTCTACATTTCGATTGAATGAAGTCATTATTCTTTGTAATTTTTGTTTCAATCTATTTTCATAATCATTAAAAAACAATACACGTATATACAATTCAATTGCCTTTCTAAATAAAAATAGAGCCTGTCGTGTGAAAAGAGCTTAATAAAATTATTTCGTGCTTCCGCTTAGAAAGTTCCTTTCGTCGAATGACAGACGTCATTTAGGAAGATTGCCAGATGGGAAGCGAGAGGATTCTTGACCCAAGAGAGATATTCATAAACTAGGACAGATTCTTCATCTTGGTGAAAATTGCGATTTAGTTCGACGATTGTTTAAACTTTTCCAGTACTTCAGAGACCGACCTTTTTCATAAAATAAATATGAAATAAATTTCATCGATCATTTCCATCTCACATTGCTGCGTGTGGTTTGACATTTATAAAATGTTATATAAGCCGCCAAGGAGTTCTATAAAAGCTGCGGTCGTGTCTATAAATAGAAATGAATCTAACGCATTATTCGATTTTTCTTCTACATTTCGCATACATTAATTCTAATCGAGACATGCCAATAAATAACATCGTTACTATTGTGCTTTCGTATTATTTATAAAAGTGGGCAGAAACATTCTGGGCGTATTCTTTTCGAAGTTTTGAAATTATATATGTTGAAAAAAACAAAAAAAATTGTTTCCATGTTAAAACTAAAAATTTGTTAATCTATACAAGTATCTATACAAGTATATTGCATGTAAAGTTATTTAAATCATTAACGTATTTTCTAGCAACTATGATAGCACATATTTATTGTTTTTAACAAATAAATGTAAAATATTCGAAATTCAAAAAAAAAAACCAAATAAATTCGAGATGCAAAAATATGAAATATCTATTTATAATAAAATCACGAAATAAATGTGATTAAAAGCAATGAATATTTAATATCAAGGATAATTAGTTTAAATAGCCTAGATATATACAATAATTAATGTTTACAGTTGCTTTCGGATAGTTAAATTATTCGACGGTAAACTTTGTAGTACATAAATATGAAATAGAAATAAAATAGCTTTATCTAAAGATATAAAAAATATTTGAAATATAAAATCAAAAGTGTAGTATGCAATATAGATAATAATATAAATATTAATTTTAATTGTCGAAGTTTGATTGTTTTTTTTATACAATTTCGAAATATATACTTATAAATGTTTATTCAGCTGTTTGCCAGAATTTTATCAATATTCAGTTTCTAGCAATGCGTATTATCCCATGGTTAATAAAAACCAAGAAAAAAAAAAACAAGGACCTAACAGTACCATTGTATAGGGTCAATGGATTCGGATTTGTGTTATTCTGAGATTATTAGTTTAGTCAAGCAAGAAAAGAAACATACAAGAATAAAGAAGAAATGGTTTGAGTACGAATAAAGAATTATAATAGGTACCTGTTATTTAGATATAATAGAATAACAAAGACCCCCCGCATAATTTAACGAACAGCTGTTTTCTATCACAAATTCTTTTTGTAAAAATCGATTCGTTCGAAAGACAAAAAAAGGTATCCAACAGAGTAATAAAATACATCCAAATATTGTAAAGAAGTTTACACCAAAACTTGTTTTGGTTAGGATAAAAAAACTTTTTCTTGTAACTTATTGTTAGATTAGAAATAACTTTTTCTACTACTTTAAGCGCCACTAAAGTGACTTCCCTGTAGGTGGTCCATTCTGTAAAACAAAACGCTACTGTATATAATAGCTTTCGACCAAGACGTATTTTTAAACGAATTTCACTTATTTTTCTGGTTTTAAAAGTTATTTGCATTGTATAAATAAATTTAGCAAAGATTTTAATCTTTTCGTTATATATATACATATATACATAGAAATAATTTTTGTAAATATTTATATAAATTTGTTTACTTATTATCTCATGATAATATTATTACAAATATTTCAATAAATACTTCATTTTCTCAAATCACTTATTTTATTTTATTTTTTTTTTTTATTAATATTGACAAAATTCATATTTAAGATATAGTTAAAAGATTAAGCAGGAGCACGATGCCAAGATCGAAAAAATAATTATGAAATTATATTTCATCACAAAAGATGAAGAAAGAATTTAAAAGAAATATTTCGAAATCCGTTCATAGTTAATTATCAGCTTTAATATTCCCTTCTTCGTTAACAACTGTACCAAAAACTATCGATCTACTAGGCAAACGAACGTTTCGAGAACTTTTCTAAGCGATAAGGAGAAATATTACAAGGGTTCTTCATAAAAAAAGTGGAACATTCGTTAAAAAGAAAAGAAAAGAAAAAAAAAAAGAGGGTCAGAGATAAAACTAGCGTTAAAAGTTCAATAAAATTTCAACAACAGCGCGCACAATTATATTCAAAACTCTGATACAAGTTACTAAATATAGTAATTATTAATTTTCTCGTTAGAATATCGTCTCCAATCAAATGAATGTTGTGTACTATGACATCTAGGACGCTTAGAGTTTCAATAAATTATTCAAATATACTTATTCAACGTACAAATGATTTGTGCTTTGATAATTATACTTTTTAAATTGCTATTAAAAAAAATAATCATTTGTCTTCATAGCAGGGTCAACGTCTTAAATTAGAAAGAGATAGACTTCGATCGATTGAAACAAGATAGCGTGTTGTTGCGTGTTTCTGGTGAGTTATGAGAGTAGACTTTTTTCTTATACCTACTCGTATTACGTCCTTCACCGAAATTTATTTGCTTACAAATGAGAAAAAATTTAAATATGATGACTTAGCTGAAATATATTTCGATTACTAAGTATTCTCTTTTATTTCTACAATTCATTAAATTAGAGTTTTTAAAAATGGTAGAAACGTAGTTCTCTTTTTTTATTTTAATATCCGAAATATAAAATTTACATCAAATTATATAACATATAATGTATAAATATATATATTATTTTTTAAATTTATTTATATACAAAAAAATATATTTAATTAAAGCTTATTTATAGTCGCACATATTTAAATAATAAATTATCTTTAAATAGTGTCAGAAATGAAAGAAAAATAATTTAAACCAATATTCAAAAGGACATTTCGATATAAATTCTGATAAATGTTATCATTTGAACGAAATATTTTATTATCCGATCCTTTGAATATGAAAAGCAAGTCTCTTCGGTGAAAAGCACAGGAGTACGTTCACGATCGATACACCTGGCCGTAACCAGGGGGTTCGTTGGCAACGCGAATCCGCTCTAAACGGGGCGAGGCTGTCGTTCCAAAGGAAAGAAGGGGCAAGAAGGGCAGGGGGAGGTAGAGAGAGATGGAGAGAAAAATGACGAGAGGACGAGTCTTTACGCTTTATTTGGCAAAGACTCGATGTCCTTGACAAGCGAAAAGATTTATATAGTCACATATACTTTACACAACACAAGCCGATGATGATTGCACAAGACTCACTCTCTTGTTCCAATTATTTTCATCTAACTTTTGCATATATTTCTACTTTATAGATAAACTTTTGTGAATAGATATTTGTTACGATAAAAAAAAAACAAATCAATAATGGCCACGAGAACTCGAGGACATTGACTCGTTAAAGCGACCTTGAAAACTATGGGAGCGAAACCGATGATCGAACCGAACCTATTCGTCCCATTCGGTGAGTTTTATGATTTTCTTTTTCTATTAAACGATCTTGATATTTTAATTGGTTTTTACGATACATCCGTTAAATTGCAATCTCATGATATTGATATTGATATTCTAATGTTCTTTTTTCTTTTTTTTATTTCTATAAATCTTTTATTTGTTTTTTTACCGTATATAATAAAAGAATATTATACTTTGACACGGAATTATGAAAAACATTTATAAGAACAAGACTTACTTAATTACATACATATCGTGTTGCGAGTTTGCATGTCATTCTACAAAAGAATGACACTCGGTATTATCGCAGTGTAATTCAAGAATGAATTGGGGTTACATTGTTTTCTTTAAAATTGGAAGAAGAAACGAATAGAAATAGAAAACTGAGTAAATTAATTTTGTTGTTTTGATAATAATTACTGATTTTCAGAAAATTAACAAATCCGTTCTTGTCTTTTGCTCTATGATTAATTTTCTTATTGTTAAATACCCAACCCACCACCCACCAAGTCTAATTGTAGGAATAACATGAAAAAGTGATAAATAGATGCTTTAACGAACTCACAGCTGCCTTCAAAAACAATAGGAAAGAGAAAAAAAGAAATTTGCATATAAAAGAATGGGGGAAAATTTGCAATACAATTTCAAGCTTTCGCTTTTGTCTCTTCTTTTAGTACGTCGACAAAACTCAACCCTTCCTCTTTTTACGATCGATAAAACTGTCGGCGGCTAAACAAAATTGCGTTTGGTAGAATGTTAGTAGCTCCGATCGATAATGTAAATGAAATCCTAAAATTTCCATCCTTTCCAAACCATACCATAGATTATATCGGTCAATAGAATTTCAACGAAAAAGATTATCTATTTTTAACTATGTGTACGTAAAAAACAATGAAGAAATGTAGAACCCACCATTAATTGCTTTCTTACTGGAAAATAAAACGGAATAATCATTCGGTTAAAATAATAGTATCAAATCGAGAAAAAAAAACAAAAGAGCAAGAAAAACTCAGATTTTACATTATTGCTTAACATGTAAAAATAAAAGAGTAAAAAAAATGAACGACAAAGAGAAGGAAAGAGGGATTCTTAAAAAGAGAGGAGAACAAAGAGAGATATCCGTTTGAAAAAGGAATTAAGAGAAAATATTCAACGGTCTTTCGTCTGAAGATAGAAAGAAATGTAGTATGGGTGTGGGAGTAAAAGAGACAGAGCTATAACTACCTTGAAAAGAGTATGAAAATGAGAAAGAGAAAGAGAGAAAGAAAGAGAAGACGAAAGATGCGCGCGCAATCGTTCGATGTCGACGCTGTTCGGCGAGTTCGTTGAGAACGAATTCCTACGAGCGAGGACGAGCCACACCCAGATATCCCCCCAATGTTCTTGATATTTTATTTTATTTTTTTCTTATTTATCTATTTTCCAGAATCTTTTAAAAAGCAACGATAAAAATATTTTACTTAAATATTCATACAAATTACTATCATTTCGAAACGTTGAGCAATGCAGAAAAATGGCGTCGCAACGGCTGAACGCCAATCGAATGTGGGGTGAGAAGGGAGTGAAGGAAAAAAAACCGTTAGAAATGAATGCCGGCCGGCCGGCACGCAGGCAGCCTGGCAGGGAAGCTGGCAAAAGAAAGCGATGTTCCTATTCGTCGTCGCCATGACAGGTCTTCGACCGTTGCCGACCGAATTACCGCCTTTCTTACTTTCCATACGAATTCTTTGTCATTTCTATCATCTCAAAAACATCACTTTGAAACGATAAATAGTACGATAAAATAGAAATCGATTATTTGAAGGATTACGAGTTTCACGATTTTTTTAATACGAACATGGCAACCTATTCGAAGCTTTCTCTCTTTCTTTTCTTTCTCACACATTATTACCTTGAATTTAATAAATCACTTCTTTTCTTTTCCAGTTAATATTATTTTCTTGTCTCTGTTTATAATGTAGAACGATATCAATAGCTTATTTAAACATCTATATAATAGCAAGAGAAAAAGAGAGAAAGAGAGATCAAAAGAATTATTTTATTATTCACATTTTACATACCTTAGCGCCAATTTGGTTTCCGCACTGGCCAGCCTGAATGTGTACGATTTCCCTCATGTTTGATGTGGCGTTGATGTACCTAACGGAGGTCCTCTTGAATTCGATATATATGTAATATTACGTGTAGCGTTATCGATAACGACGGTAACGTACTGCGGCGAAGAGTGATGCACGATCTCAGTCTGACGCGTCACGAGAGCCCAGAAACGAATAATGCGTTGGTGACGGCGTCCGTTAGAGATTTTCAAGCCTTCGCGAAGTCAATGGTGGGGGATAGAGAGATCGCATCCTATTGGTCGACGTCCATTCGCCGAAGCATTCTCCCCACTATTTTGCGATCGAGGCGCGACGTTGCCACTAATTCTTCTTCCTCCTCCTCGGCGTTATAGCGTCGGCGCCGGCTTCTCGCCTTTGCAGCGCGTCTATCTCTCCTCTCTCTCTCTTTCTCTTTCTTTCTTCTCTTTTTCATTCCACATCTCCCGCTCTCTCTCTTACTCGTTCGTGTGCCTTGGCCGTCGTTGATTCGCTAAGAGCCCAGCCGATCCTGCGTGCTCGCTTGGCGCATCGACGTCGATCGTCTTCCTTACCATTTTCCTGAGGTTAGGAACGGCCGGAAGAGGGCTGGCTTGATTCGATGCGGAAGCGATTCCGTCGATACGACGGTACCAACGATTTTAGCCCTCTTTTTCTATCTAACAATTTTGCTCTATACTTTGTATGATGTATTGTATGATGTAGATTATATGTATATAAGTACATACGTACGTACCTATGTATATAATACATATGTAACAATACACATGTTCGTATGCGAAGATATTTCTCTTCGTGTGCGTGTATAATATATGAATACGAGAAGAAATGTGTGTAGGTAGTGTCGTCGAACGTATATGAATGTGTGTCTGGCCGCATTTGCTTTTCCACTTCCTATAGATACGATTACTTCGCGAAGTATTTTAAGTGGCTCTTGAGATGCATTCTGATGTGATGCTACTTGGAGAAAAACTTGCTGGACCATCGAATAAATTTGGATCGAATGAATATAAAAGTCTTTCATATAGCTTACAAGAGTCAATCCAATTCTTATCTCACGAACGATGAATATTTTGAACTAACTTATCTATCGATGTATAAATACGAATTTGAGAGTCTATATAAAGATGTATATATTTAAAAGACGTATGGTATGCCAAGATACTTGTGTGCTATTTTCAGTGCAGGAAATGTGCATAACTAATATGCGCGCATATGCTTTTTTAAAACACTTATAGTAACGTTAATTTAAGGATAATACGTATTTAAACATATGTACCAAAATGAAAATGCAACGAAATTTTAATGAAATATTTTTTTGATTTCCTTTTTTCTTTATTTTTTATACTTTCGCTACATATGAGTTATCACAGTTAAAAAATCTATCTCGTACGAATTAACCTCATCTACCAAGTCTTCTCTATCTCGAATTTGTTCGCATCGAGATAGTCCGATTTACATCCGATTCTTCATATCTCATGTCCTATACCCATGAACAGGACATATATATTCATATATTCCATGCTTCGTTTTCGATATGATCGGAGATGCGGCGATCGAATTTCGATACGCTGTATTCTTTTCACTCGGAAAATTGATACTTACTGTCAATGTTACTTTTACAATGTCTCATCTTTTAATTAATCTGTACTTATCGATTACTATCTTCGTTCATAAATTATCAATACATACTATCATCGTGTATCAAATCTAAACATTCCGAATCATCGAAATAGAAATGGAAATATAATGTCCATTTGTCATTATATTCAAACTTCTGCGAAAAATAGAAAAAGTAGAGGGAGGAGGAGAGAGAGAGAGACAGAGACAGAGAGAGAGAGAGAGAGAGAGAGAAAAAGAGAGAAAACAATCTCATTATTGATGAATCACAGGAAGATCTTTCGTCATCCGAATTGTTTATGGTAATATGAAATAAATAATCGTTTGATGAGTATATGTGTAGAAAATACACAGTCTCCTTAAAAACTTACATAATACTCGTTTACCTTTTTTGAACGTTCCCCGTATCGTCATGGCTATCTCGAGTCAAAAGTATATAACACCGTGTTCGTAAGCGCAAATCCTCTTAAGAAATCTCTTTGCTTGTTTACCTGTATCTACAAGCTCGAATGATTACGTAAAAATCTATCTTGCATTGGAGGGTGCATTGGAGGGTGCATTAAAGAGTACATTAGAGGGTACAAGAAATATGAAAGGTATTTGAGATCGAGGAGGTTTTATTTTAAAAAAATTCAGACTTGAGTTAGTAATTTTTCGAAATATTTTTATTGTTCCGTTTAAAAATTAAAATTTTTTGTAATTTTTCTTATTTAGTTTATACAAAACACTTGTATATGTAAATAGTGAATAGTCTAACGGTAATAAAATTCACTTTACTGTAATTTTTCTTTTTTACTAATATAAATAATAAGCATGCATGTCACAATTTCTTTTAACGTAACAACTTAATTATAATTCCTTAAAGTACAAAATATCAATTTTATTTTGCAAGTAAAATTATTATAAAAGTAATATATTAAATAAATGAACAGTAAGAGTTCATCAGATTTTTCTGGAAATTTGATTCCATAAAAGTACAATCGCGCAGTTGGTTAGGATAGTTATCAACGAAACATATAGAAGTGATTTTTTGCAATTAGTGAGTTGAAAGTTGGAAATTGTGTAATTCTAAAACAATTATAGTAGTTAATTATTTGTATTTTTTATTTTTATTTTTTCCTTAAGCATAAAGCTACTTCAATACATTTTTTATTTATAGCATCTGAAAAGTGAGCATTTGTTCTATTAATAGAGATTATATTTATATTGTAATAGATGTGGTTATTTGCGAGTGCAAAGGATTAAAATAAACCCGAAATTAGGTTTGATATTACAGTACGGATTCTAAGAAATTCGAAATATCTCTTTGTAGTTTACTTTTTTTCACTTTACAACGATGAAGTGACTAAAGACTCGAGATTTATTTTATTTTTTGTATAATTATTTTTATAATTGTTTTATACATTTAACATATAATAAAAGTATATTCTTTTTTAAATAAAATAAATTACACAGTATGTGTCAAAAATAATGACACTAAATTCTTTCATATCTTTTACGTATGTACATGGAAAAAAAATTGTAAATATTATTGAAAGAATATATTAATTTTTGTACAATTAGTTATAAAGTCATTGTTGATATAAATAAATTTGTAAATAAATAAGTAAATATATATACAGAAAAAGCTTTATTATTATAAAGTTTGTTTATTTCAAAAATTCAAAATAAAGTCATTTTCTTTCTTTCCATTTATCTTAAATTAGAGATCATACATTTAACAAGTAAATAGATGTAATGTTCAAATCAGAGTTGGTGGAAAATGTTTCGATTTGTTTTTTTAGAAACATTAAACTTACCTGTGTAGAACGACCAGAGTAATCTCATGGCAAACTGTTTCAGAGCTCTAATGCTATATATGTACAGTTGTTGAATAGTTTGTAAAGTAATGACTCAGATGGTCACGTTTTACAAGTCAGACCCTTCGACAGCTTTTAAAACGCGTGCACGTCCTCGTCGTCGCAGCTTTTTCACCGAAGAGAAATGCAAAACCGAGTGTTAATTGGTGCTGGTGATTACAAGCTTCTAGCTAGCAGAGAAAAATTATTAATTAAGCAGGTACTACTTAACGCTACAGCTTTACTACTGGTTCTGACATATTTCTGCTCTTTTGAATCCGTGCAAATGTTGAAAACAAATTAAAAAATCAATTTTAATTTATAATCAAAAAATTCAGTTTATATTTATTGAATAAAAAAAGAAAAATTAAAATATTGGAAAAGAAATTTAAATTATGAAATCTTATTGAACAGTAAAATAAATGGATTATTAATTTAAAATTGTAAGGGATGACATTTCAAATCTTTTATTAAGATTTATTAAGAAATCTATTTTTGAATTTATCGAGTCATCTAAAATGTGCGATCTAATCGCAGCGAAACAAATGAATTCTTCATTGTTTGCAATGATTTAAAATAATACAGTTAAATGTGAAATAATAAAGTTTATCGTAATTTGGTCCGGAAAGAAGAAAAGCCATTGTATTCATATACTTATCTCCATAATAATGTTCTCTCGTCATCGAGTATATTCGACTGTCACGTGAAGACAATACATATACGTGTCGCATCACCGACCACGACCAAGAATAGCCAAATGGCGCTTATGAGACCGGACGTGAAATTATATTACGAGCTCCACCCTTCCCAAGAATTTACATCTCGGTCAACTTCTTTGTCTTTATCGTGCACAACCAAAGTTTAACATTTAATTTAAAATACAAAATTAAAAGAAAATTCTTGGAAAAATTAAAAAATTAACTCAATCAAAATTATACAGAATAATTTATATAAAAATAGTTTTATTTTGTAAATAGATTAATATTAATTTTGAACAACGTTAATGTTGTATTTTGTAATATTTTTTCATTGGACCGAATTTCATTTATCGACTCGTCGAAATCCGTAGCAACGAAGTCGCGACGCTATTCTACCGCAATTCGTACCACCCCTTGCCGCAATTCAGCCTTAGACCCACCCTTGACTACCTTAACCTGCACCGGAAGAAAGTCGATATGTGACTCACGAACGTACACGCCCTTCGAAACGTCGAAGGTTCGATTAACGCTTTGACAAATATTTTCTTATACGCCTGCGTACGATAATTAGATTTAATAACGTTTCGATTTTCTTAATTTTCTTTATTTACATTTTTGAATAATTTTCTTATTTAAACAGATATTTTTCACATCTTTCCATTCCTAATTAATCTATATAATTATTAATTTTCATTGATACATAAATAAATTCATTTCTATTACATTTTAATTGAAAATAAGTGTTTGATACATTTATACCTGTATTATTTTTTTTATCACCATGCAGTTATTTTGATTCCTTTATACTCGATCGTTAATTTAAATTCAACACGTTTTTAAATTGTACATGTTTTTATTTTGTTTTCTATTAAATAAAAACGAATACAAATATGAAGTAATACTTTAATGAGTCACTGGTATTGATCAATCAAGATAAAAAATACTTTAAAAAATTACCTTATCTTATTAATAAGTAGATAACGTTATTATTCAGCTAAATAAGGTGAGTCAACTAAGACCGACTGCAATAATCTATAATT